CTATTGCATATAAAGACCTCTTGGAACATTTTCTTAAAAGCTTAACTGTTGTTATTTCAAAGATGCTAAAATACATTTTTTGTTGGTTCGTTTTATTTGATAGTTTTTCTGATTGTTCTCTAATTAGAAAAAATTTCAAATAAAAGGAAAACTAACCATAATAGTCTGGTTTTACCCAAACAAAACTAAATAAATAAAAAAAAAAAAAAAAATAATAAGCAAAAGAAGAAAAAGACAGTAAGTGTCTACAAGGAAAATAAAACTTTTTACTGTATTTCTTTTAGACAAGAGGCTACTGATCAAACCATTTGTAAAATATTAAATATTGCTGGTAATGGTGTGGATTTCATGCAGTATTTACAAAAGTTAAATGGAACATTTGTTCTAAATAATTCCTCAGAAATAAATGCAGCTCAAACTTGAATGTCGTTACCTCACATGAAATGGAAATTTTTGCATGGATTGTTTTTTTTTTTAATCTTTGGGAATGGAGTGGGGGAACAATGAAAATATAAAAGAAAAAAAAATCATTTTTTTTCATTTGGAAGACTCCGGCTAACAATAACAACAACAATAATAATAATAATAAAAAATACTGAGTTACAATTATTAAACATTGGTCACTTGCTCTGCCTGGAAGGAGATGACAAAAAAGTAAATAGAGAATAAAGTTTTTCTTTTACTTTTTTTTTTTTATACATTTAAATTTTGCCTGGCTAGATCCAGCAAAAAGTATGGGGCACTTTTGTACAAGGCAAAAAAAAAAAAAAAAAAAATTTGACAAAAAAAATAAAAAAAGTGGAGTGGTTATTTGGGTGCACAAAAACGAGAACCACCACTCTGTGTCAAATGTTGCAGGTTAAAGGTTTTCTGGACAAAGAAGAGAGTCACAAAAGGTCAGTTACTGTGAGGGCAGAGAAAAAAAAAAAAAATCACATAAACGAACCCTGACCCTTTTATTGAAGCACACAGGTTGAAACTGTTCTTCTTTGTTAGTTTGTCACAGGTCTTCTTTTGCTTTTCATGAATTAAGAGGAACAAGAAACCCTTTAAAAAATAAATAAGAGCTGGGACTTGATTTTTATATACAACTAGAAACAAGTGCAAACATTTAAGAAAATTAGTACAGAAACATCAATGAGAATAAGTGATTTAGAAAAGTAAAAAGTAATGAGTTATGGCAATTTACTTTAGATTTGCAAACAGATGGCTATGAAAAACACAAAACAAATCCCATTTGTTGGGGATTCATATGAGATTTATAAAGAAATGTAAAATTATTATGAAGTTCATTGTTCTGTGTATTTTTACCAAATGTTTTGAAAAGATGTAAATTTAGTTAATATCTGTAATTCAGTTGTTGCTATTTCTGCTTACAAGGATTTTGACTTGTTGAAATTACCGCCTTTATGTGTGTATAAGTCACAGGATTTTGCATCTGAATGGATAGGAATAAAAATTGGAGAGATTACTTTTAATATGTTGATTGCCATATCACCATTGGTGACATGGCACTTCATTGTATGTTGTGTCAAACCAGATACCGTTGACAGCTATATTTTCCTTTTAAGTTGCTTCCCAAATGTCAGAGACTCAACGCATATCTCTATATAGAACAATGTGGCTTCCTGTGAAATTTTAGGAAAATGCATATGGCACTTGGCTTCTTAAATTTTACTTGAATGTTTATAAATGTATAGTAGGTATAAAAAAAAAATAAATAAATAAATAAATAAAATCATGGTAAAAATAGTTTTTTTTGGGGGAAGGAAAAAAAAAAAAAAGAAAAGAAAAAAAGAAGAGTATTTGAAGTATATGCAGAATTAATTGTCCCCATTATATAACATGGCCATAATTATAAAATAAATGTAAATATATTTATAGCACATAAGATTTATTTGCCATGAAGCATATATATATATATATAAAAAATCTGTAAAGAATATTATGAACACAAGAAAAGAGATGTCACCACTAGTTGGTGACATGGCTTCTGAGATTAGGAGAAAAAAAAAAAATTGACAGCCATTTTATCAAAAATATATTAGCACTAAAAAAAAAAAAAAACAAAAAACAAAAAAAAAAAAAACTAAAACAAGCTTTTATTATAAAAAGAAAAAAAAGTGGCCCTAGAGGCTCCTAGGCTAATTTTGGATTAGCAGTAAATGTGTTAAACAAAAGCCATGGAATATTTGAGAAACATGACTGACATGATTAAAGCGCAACTTCTTATGGATAACTGAATTCTACAGAACAAGAAAGAAAGTTCACTTTTGGAGCTTTGGATTAAACTGACAATGAAAATTTATTTTAAAAAGATTATAACTAATCTTTTAAATTAATAGTTGAATTCTTTTTTTCTTTTACTCACTAAAATGTATACTATACCAAATTGATCTTAACAAAATGTGTTATGATGAGTAGCATACACATATTGTCAAAAAAAAAATGATGGCAATAGTGGAGTAATTTTGCAAATATAGTTAATATATAAGACAATTTAAAAAAAAAACAAAAAAAAAACTTCTATTTTGACAGGTTTCAATGATGCAACAGCAGCATCAGAAAAATGGATCTTACATCAACCAAATCTACATTGGCAAAACTGAATGTGATGAATGATAGATGATTTTTTGGTATTAACTGTATCATTTTAATTAGTTCAAATCATATATATCCCATATTGTTCCGACAATTTCAATGCATTTTTGAGGGGAATAATCTTCATTTTTTAATAAAACAGCACTTTAGAGGCTAAAATTATGATCACAAAAGTTTTGGCAGTATACCAGTGCATTCTCTGGGCTGTTTAATTCCGAATCCCTTTTATCTTCATAAATTCTTTTCTTCCAGTTTTGTAATGTTTTGTCAATGTATTTTGGGGGACATTCTTTACATCCTATTTGGCAGACTCCAGCTTCTGATGTAAAGTTAGCTCTCCATTATACTTTAAATTTTTAATTATTTTGGAAATGGTCTGATAGTTTGCAAACATATCGTATTTAAAGAATATCAAAGACTGTTATTCTACTGCCGTTGCTTTGTTTGCACTCAATGCCATCTGAATAGTAATCTCAAGAAAACAAGTGTCATCTCTATTAGGATCAGCATAAAATTCTATTTCTCTTGACATTAGACAAAGCCACAAAATATGGATGTGTAGGTGGCTTAATGGCTTTCAGCATAGAAAGTGGAACTGGTGAGCCAAGTTCAAGTTTCAGGCTATGCTGTGGCATTCACTTTGCATTAATGCTCTTGGTAAAAGCATGAATCCATTTCTACATGGTCCAACCAAGCTAGACCAGATTCTCTAGCTTTAGATGACAGTCCATCAAGAACTATCACAATGCTGAAGGCAACAAGAAACTATTCTGCTATCTTTTCCAAGATTAATCAGGCCAATTCACAGATAATAAAGAAATTAAATTTGTGGAGATCCACAGTCACCTCATCCTGAAGGGACACAGGATTAACCAAAGAGAAAAAAAAAAAGTTTTTTTTTCTGATAATAAAAAATAGATTATAAATGTACTCTCATATATATATATATATATATATATATATATATGCATGTTGTAGCACTATAGACAGTTTGTTCACTTTAGCTGTTGGCAATAGCATGAATCCAACCAGCACCTTAGACAACTAAATTCTAAACCATGAACAATTCAATGGCAAAACACTCTTTCCCAAGAAGGCATACCAATTCACAAATAAGGAAAAGAAATCTGTAGAGAGCCATGATCACTGATGTCCTAAAGGAATATTATATATAAAATTCTATGTGTATCTTATATAAACTGATATATCTTTTTATTGACATAGATGTTCAATGCTAAAAGTTAATACTTTCCATTTTATTGTTCAATTTTTTTATGGAGGGATGACTTATACACACATGTTTATGGTAATTATAATTTATTAGTTTGTATTAGGCAAAGCTAACTTTGACACAAAGACAGGATCTAGAATTACCCAATGAAGTATTAACTTGCAATCAGTAGCATGGTAATCATTGGTATAGAATAGTTGCTCTTCTTGTTTTTGATAAACTAGTTGTGGAAGGAGTAGAATTTACTTAATGTTTTGGTGTTGATTTATATCAAGATATAAATAAAGAAAATCCATGTTATTTTTGGTGTTTGAAAGAATTATAAAAACATTGATGACTAGAAAGATATTTTTTTTTTATTTTTTTTAATCAGGATTGCATTTGTTGTTTAAAATGTATGGATATTTGTAGTTCTTTTTATAAACCCATTCTGAGGTAGTAGTAATAGTAGTTAGCTGTTTATTGATGGACCAAGGGTCAATACAAAAACCTACCAATTACCATAATCTCTTCATTAAAAAAAAAAAAAAAAAAAAAAAAAAAATTAATTCAAATTCATATAAAATTTAATACCATTAATATTAATAATTAGATATAAATAAATACTAATAGTTTTAAGTTATCCAAATTTCGTAACAGAAACATGATTAATTTTCAGTTAATTTTTCTTTTATCTCATTTCTGTTGCTTTTTTATTATATTACACAGCTTTTTTTTTTCACAATCGTCAACTGAAGTGAGCAGCATGAATCTGAAATAAAGAAATAACTTCTAAGTTTGAATTTGCATCCCTTATCTTTTGAGAGCCAAAATAATGGTGCTCTGATTAGGCTATGAAAGCTAAACCAACTGAAGTCATTCAGATTTCATTCTATATCAATTCTGATCCAGGCAGCTGACTCAACAGTCATTGAATGCAAAGACGACCTGAGCATTACAATAGAAAGCAACTAGAATAAGGTAAAAGTAAATTTAATAATAATATTAATAATAGTATTTTTTTTTTAAAAAAATATCAAAATAATAATATTTATCCTTTTTGAAATCCATAGGTATCAGCGTTTAATGGATTGAACATAGACACACAAACCTCCCATTTTCAGTAATTCTTCTTTTCACCAGTCCAAGATTCTTGGGACATTTGCATTACAGATGCACTTTTCCACAACTACCGGTAAACGCGAGTCCTAAAAATTTATGACAAAAGAAATCTTTCAGATTATTTCAAGCAAGCAGAAGATTTTCTCTGTCACTTTCATAAATTCTCTCAATCACAGCAAACAAAACAAGCAATAAAAAAAAACAAAAAAACAAAAATAAAACACTTGTTTCAGAACATAAAGTAGCTATTGTATGTCAATTCATTTAGATTAGCTTCCTAAACTTTGGTCATTTTTATCACATTTCAGCCACAGTTAACATTTCAGAAATACTAAAACTATATCCACAGTTCTCATTCCCTTGTCTGGTATTCTTCCAAGGGAATTTTGAAACTTGTAACTGTCAGTTTTTCCTTATTATGCTCATTTGTCTGAACTGTTTTCTGGCTATTTTTTTTTTAACTGTCCAAGCCAAGAATTGAACTCATTACTTTCAGGAAACCAGATAAGCTTTTCTGATGTCCCTGTTAGACACATGAACAGTGACACTTTTTTTTTTTTGAGTATATAAGAGGCCAAAATGTTGTGATAAAAACAACAAAGAAATGGAAACTGGTCCAAGTGAATCCATGTCTAATAGTAACAATATTCCTAACACTATTCATCAATATAAACAAAACATCAAATATGTGGTGCCACACACTCAGTAAAAATTACAGAAGTTTTTATAGTTGGATTCTACCTTCTGCCAACTGTTAACATTCACAACTCTGCTTAGAACAGCTATCATAAGTTTCCCAAGGCAAAATAAATGCAAGTTCAAATCTTGCTGGGAGATTATTGCTTATTTATTTTTATCTCTGCTGTTGACTAATGATTAGTAACTAATTTCTAATTATTTGCAATGAAAAGCAATAGAGATAAAAGAAATATTAGACAATAATAGATAATAAAATCCTCATGGAATGACAGTCTGAATAATAGCAATAAAAGAAACTGGACTTCAGATGAAAGAAATACTAAACAAAATAGCTGACAATGCTTTATCCAATAATAAAATAGAATGAACAGCTGCAATAAAAAAAATATTGAAGATAAAATACTAATAAAAAAATCAATAATCGCTTCATCTAATAATAAAACAATAGAATGAGCCCAAATTATTGCAGCAAGATTAAATTAGTGAAAAAATAACAATGACTGAATAACAAAATCTTGTCTCAGAAATTGAAACACTTCAAATGCTTAGTTTATCCATTTCACTCCTCAGCCAATCAATGAATTTGTTTTAAAAAAAAAAAAATTATTAAGAATCAGTATAAAAAAAAAAACCTAATTCAACACCTCAGTTGGAATTATAGATTTTATTTTGACAAAAAAAAAAATCCAGTAAAGCCAATATCTTAAAGAAAATGTACATATCTTTCTTAATTTGTTAGTAATTCAAAGTAACCAATGTTTCTTATAATAAAATAAAATTGAACAGGTCAGAAATTTAGCCATCTTATAAAGAGTAACCTTAACTGTTGTAAACCATATGACACAATTTACTCCTGCCTCGATAGTAAGGCTTATCAGTCAGACAAGGTCAAAATGGCAGCTGATGTCTAAAATGACAAGTCCATTGTTAACAGGGGCAAAAGATGGCTTAATTTTAATGCCTCCAAAATGAAATTTCTCTCCATTAATCATCTCAGAGACCTCTCACTGCTTTCCATCAGCACGGCTCATGCTAACCTCCAGGAAAGTGACTTGTTGTGCCTTCTTGGACACACATTCTCTGCTGACATGAAGTGGAAAGACGATATTGAATCCATTGCTAGGTCAACTGCTAAGAAGTTCACTGTGTCAGGTGAAACAATTTTTCTCTCCAGAATCCATCTTGCATATCTTTAAGTCTACCATTCATCCATGCTTAGAATATTACTGCCACATATAGTCTGGTGCCCATGCTATTTACCTTGAGCTCCTTGATAAAATGCAAAGGAGAATCAGCAATATTATTGGTCCTGATCCTCAGACCAAACCCTTCCATTGTAACAAAGAGAAACTATACTGACATCAACAGCATTAAAATATAAGACTTATGTGAAACTTCAAACAATACTGATACCGTTTCTATATAACAGTCATTGTTCATGGGGTAACAGTATCAGGTAAGTAAGTCAGAGGAGAGTGATTTCCCCTCACCCAAGGACTCATTTACCTACTCTTCTCTATTGTGACACAACACTGAGAAGGCAATTTGTTGAAGGTATATTTTTTTGTGTGTACATGTATGGGTCTAAATATTGGCCAAGGATTGAGAAAAAAAATAATGGCTACATTTAGGCAAGTAACCAATCGAAAATTTTGTATACTTATATATATAAAAAAAAAAAAAATTAAAACACCTGCAGGTCCATGTTTTTGTTGCAGAATCAGTATTCTTCTCAAAGTGACCAAATAAACACATTATGAAAAAGGGCCTAATACCTTAACAGAAATGAACATTTTTTTTTTTTTATTACTTTTTCATTTTATTCTTACTTTTTTTTTTCCTCAAAATGTTAAGTAAGCAATATGGATTATAAACAAAGCAACTTCTAATTAAATGTGAACTTGTATCCTTTGTTCCTACAATAAAGCTACCAAAAAGAAAATGAAAAAAAAAAAAAGAAAATTAATAAAAAAAATGAGAATGCTTCCTTAAAAATCAAACCACTAAGTACTACTATATATCTACTACTAGTAGTTGTAAACAACCAACAAAAGATAAAAGATGTATACAGTTGGTAGATAGGATTCCAAAGCAAAACCTCTTAAGCAGGCACAGATTTTTATCAAGTTCTAAAATGTTCCTTGTAAATAAAGAGGTTAGGAGCAGATAAGAAAAAAAAAACTTAAAACAGCACTAGAGGTAAGATTTTTAAAGTAAATTTGAAGAGTTTTTTTTTTTTAACAGAAGAGACAACTTTTACAGTAAAGTGAACATGATACATACAAACACTTAAACATAACATATTTATATAGCAATCTTTTGTTTAAATATGTTCCATTAAACAGAATGGACAGAGAATACCTTAAGTTATTTTTTTTAGTGATTTTCTCCTGGGGTTGAGTAAATCACTGTCAGGTGAAAACTTTTGAAAGAACTTACCAAAATTGTGTGTAATATTCTAAATTTCTATTTTCTTAAATATGTGTTATACTTAACTCAATTAATAATTAATAATTAATTATTGTGCTGTGTATTATATTTAATTATCTTTTAAGTACATATATCCTTTTGTAAAGACAATGATTGTGTGTGAACAAATTGTCCAAAATTCATGTTGTGTAATACCAAGCTTCTGACTCATCCAAATCCTCATTGGAGGTGGGAGTGCGAAAAGAAAATTATGTTGTATTTAGTAGAGTATCATCATTTGAAAGAGTTGTTAGTTTTTGAAAACTAAATCAATTACAGCTTGATGCAGCAAGTCATGCGACACCAACGTGTAATAATGTGTTTAGAATAATATTTTTTTCCCTTTATAATCATTCAAGAAAAATATTTCATATTTAATACGTTAAAAAAAAAAAAAAAAAAAAACTGCACTCACTCAATTATACTGAATATATGACACACACACAAACACAGCTTTTACCTACAGAAATGGGGAATTATATAGATGAATAAATATGATCCATATCTATGTGGCCGCTCAAAAATTTCAAAGAGAAAAGCAACTGCAAAGGCCTGTGACAAAATACTGTACAGTCAATTGGGCAAGAGATTCAATCCACAAAGATTTTTTTTTTTTTCTAAAACATTCACGTACACAAGATTGGATGCAACTCAATACTCGAGTTGAAACTAATGCATTAGAAATATACCTGGAACATATAGATATCTCTAAACGAATGCACATACATTTGTTTTGTTTGTTACACATGAAAAAAAAAAAAAAACTTTGCTGTTCAACACACTTACAAATCCAACAACATCTTTGCTATAAAAAACAATTGTATAAAAAACACTATATTATTTTACACTCAAATCATACAGGCATATTATATATATATATATATATATATATATATATATATATATATATATATATATATACACACACACACATACACACACTTACATAGTTTTTATATAAAAAAAAAAAAAATTTTTTTTTTAATTTAAAAGAATCACTGACTGCAGTGTTCATTAAGTTTTAATTCCATGGCACCAATAAAAAGTACCAATAAAAAGTACCAATAAAAAGACACCAGCATTGTCCTTCAACTCTTACAGAAATAAATAGGTCAATGTTCAAATGTTATCATATTACAAAACAAACACCGATTACGCAGATAACATTCTTATGAATTTTTACACAGCACAAAGCAAAACAAGAATAAAATGCATCCAATATGATGTAAGCTGCATAAATTGCAGTGCTAATGCTCTTGTTCTCATGCACAGCAGGCAAAATAATTCAGAACTGGTTTCAGACGTTACTAACACAGGTTCTACCGTTGTATCAGAGATGATAAAGGCTAATCTGAGTAAGCAATATTTTCTATTGGGTCCACTGGGCTTGGCCACTGTACATGTGTTGGCAAAGAATTAAATATATGCTGTATAATTAAGCATTGAATAATGTTCACAAAGTAATATCTTAGGTAACATATTTTCAAATGTTTTATACAATTTGATTGACAAGTCCCGTCTATACAATTGTTTTTTTTTTTTTTTTTTTTTTAAACATTTTGTTTATAAACTTCTGCAGATCTCAGTCAAAATAAAACTGTCCAAAGTTCATGTTTTTATTAAGTAACCTTCAAGCATCGTACATCAGAAATAACATTTGTTATCAGTAAAAATTTCATCCTCAATAAACATGTTGGAATCAATTTTTCCCCTACTACACAATATATATATATATATATATATATATATATATATATATATATACACGAGATAATGATATATATTTTTATATATCAAGAACAATATTGGGGAAAAATGTATGGCAAAGTGTAAAAAGTTTTCTTGTCATGTGTTCCATCCTTTAGGACTTCATTGAACTAAATTTGTTATGCTGGTGCGACTACACATGCACATGAAC